ATGGATGTATGTATGTATGTATGTCCACAGCCTGCATCAACTGTCCCCGTGTTCTGGCTCCACGAGGTCCAATGGAGCGATTCGCCTCGGGCGAAGATCCCGAGCCACAGCGCACCCCAATCCATCTAAGTCAAGCACCCAAACCTTCAAAATTTAGGCTTTGTCCGTTTAGTTGTCCGTTTAATTAGGTTTAGGGTAACCCAAACCCTTAACCGTCAACGCCCCCGACCCCAGCTGAAAGCTGGGCAGTTCACTAGGCGTCGACCAAGGGGTCTGGCCTTGGCCATCGTCTCTGCTACAATCTTTCCAACATCATGTCAGTGGGAATGGGTGGGATTAGTGATTCATTCGCCTGGCAGCTCCCTGAGGGTAGTTCTCGCATATTCTAGCAGCCAGAAGGGACCGTGAGTTTTCAACGACAAGTCCCCAATCTCCTTGTCAACGCAAGCTTCGCTTCTTGAGAGCACGGCGGACACTCGGGCCGGCTCTGCGGCTACGGGGCTGCAGCTGCAGCACATGCTCGGCCTCGGAGGGACGACGCTTCAAACGGTGCCCGGTCTGAGCCGGCTAAGGGGTCCACGAAAGCGGAGCCAAAACTGCTACCTGGCACTGCGACGAGCCAGTCTGTGGCAATGATCTGAAGCCGCTTCGTCACCTGAAGCGCTTTGGCCCTGAGGCGGCATGGCACGAAATCGATGACTAAATTGATGGAAGCAAGCTTCGCTTGCTCGTGGCTTCATGTTGGCTATGCTTACGAAAGAAGACCGCCTCCTCTGAAAGCTTTTAATCGGCATCTTACGCTTTCTGGCTCAGGACTTAAGACAACGACTGAGGTAGCTGTACACTCCGGTCCGGGAGTTGCGAGTTCAGTCTGTGAGCGCATCAGTGGCTGAAGGGTGGGTTTCGAGGTGCAAGGTGTCAGGGCGTTACGGTGCAATGTCTTGGCTTCCCTCAAGGCTTTGGGTGTCGGGTTTTCGGCAATATTAAGCAAACACCTACGACTGCTGTCCTTCCCTTGTTGACACTGTCGTGATGAATAGGCTGGCCAACAGACATGGGCGAGGACTGGTGCCCGCTTGAAGGGAAGCTAGCGCACTGAAATCCGTTCTGGAAGCATGTTCGCGGATGGAACCCACCCGAAGCACGCAACATAGCTGCCGGCACATAACACACAGCGTGCACTGGCAGCACGGCTTTTGTCCGCGTCTGCCCGAGTGCTCCGAGTTCGCGTTCGGAGAGCTCAGATGACTGCAGGAGCTGTTGGTGTATCTTCTCGGTGAGGTGGTTATGCTTCGGCTCTCGCAGAATCAATCCTCTCCGTTGCGGTACTTCTCCAGCCTTTCAATGCTGCCTCGCAGCATGCGACGAGAAATGAAGCACAATCTACACACCTGAACTGAAAAGTCACCACCAAAGTAGCAAATCCCGTCACAAGCTCTTGGAGGGTCATTTGCTACCGAGGTGCCGGTCTCAATGTACTGGTCAATCTTCTTAACAGTTTCCTCGCAGCGATCGTGCCATATCATGCCAAAGGTAGGTACGACGAGGGCTTGCGGCGCTCGCACCTTTCCGACACCCTTCAGATGAGCGATCGACTTTCCGGAGATGACCTGCGGATTCTGATGGTGACCCGAAGCCTATGAAAACGCGAGGCACCTTCTCGTCCAGCCCACGTAGAGTACCAGCCACCTCGCCAAGCACCAGCATGTAACAACGCGTTCGAGAAGCTGCAGGAGCCCCGACACTCTTGTAGGCGACGCCGGCAAACTTGCTGGTGCCTCCTTTCCTGAGGTACGCAGCACTTCAAAACCTATGCAGGCATGAGCTCCACATACGCAAGGCTTGGAGAAAGAGCCTCTCCGGCTATATGCAATGTGAGGTAGGTCGAGTCAGACTGGGAGATGCCCGGCGGAGCAGGAAGATTCAACCCGTCACAGATCAGAACGCCTTTTCGCCCTATAGCTTTGGATTCGATTCCGGAGGCAGGGCAGAAGACTCAGCGTGGGCCTGGTTAAAGGCGGCGGGCCTTCGGAGGTGGGGGCATGCTAGCTCATAGTAGCTCTGTGGAGGCCCTGCTCGGTTTCCTGCAACATGCTTGGGTTTGGCTTTGGTGATGAGCTTCTCCATAGTGTCTTCTGCTTTGGTCTCCAATTCTCCGACCTCGCAAAAACGGTAACCCTGTGAATTTGTCTTGGTGTTGCTTTTCTCCCGATGGGAGTGTAGGCGTAGTTTCTTCGCTTTGTTGCGCTTCTCGCTGCGTGCATATATGTACGTATATCTGGACGTATGTGTCGTTTACATGCAAACATGTGTCTGGTTGTATACTTGCATGTAGGGATGTTTAAGAAGAAAACAGGTGGAGTCAGATTGTCGCATCCTGCCATGGCGCTTGCTTGAGATTTTGGAGACTCGGCAGACATATGTGTGACTTGGCTGTTGCCAGCGCTAGACCACGCTGTGCTGGTAAATGAAGTACAACAGGCACTGCATGACATGTGACGAGACTGGCACGGTACAGCTTCTGCTTGGCTGCAGGCTGGAGCAAAGACATCAGACATACTTACTCAAGCTTGAAAAGCGCCAGTGATCCTGCCTCCCCTGACCAAGCGGGTGGTGCTGGTGGTCTGGATAGCTCAGGAACTGGGATCATAGAGATAGATACATAGACAGGTAGATACATAGATAGATAGATAGATAGACAGACAGACAGATAGATAGATAGATAGGATATGCAGAACATTCTGTATAAGCATACGGACAGATACATGTAAATAGACATATCTGTTATGTAAGTTATGTACGTTTATGTGTTAAATAAAGGTAGCTGTAGACATATAGGATGTATACATACATGCGCTGAGTATAATACGGCATGTGTGTGTGTATGTATATATATATATACGGTGCATATACCTCTATATATAACACTTAAAACAAATGCTTTACCTGTGTTTTGTGCTGTACCTACATATGTCGAAGAACATGTCGGTGTATATACATACACGCGTATTATGTGTGCACATCTAAAATCCGTATGCATACATGCTACATGTGTATATAAATCTGCATCTGCTCATGTGTACATCTGCGTGTGCAGATAAATTCTAGGTAGTCTACGGAACCGGGCTCCACACTTAAACTCGAAGGAGGACAACTCGTCGAAGAGCTTGGCTAGCTCCTCGTTGGGCCCGGACCTCAGATGCGATAAAAACCCCAAGGCTTGGGGCCGGGCTTCGGGGCCTCTACAGCTTAGGGCTCAGGGCTTAGGGTATGGAAGCTGTAGCGCGGTAGGGAGGTTCCAGAATTTCGGGACTTTTGGTTTGAAGCTCTGGCGCAACGCGTTTGGATTTGGGGATTCAGGTTTCAGGGCTGGGATGATGATGGTTTAGTTTAGTTCGTGAGACGAAAGCGGACGAACTCGAGCTGCTGGACTCGGGCACAAACGTTTTCTTCGGACTCTTTGCAGCCTGGCGAATGACAGTCATCACATCAGCTAAGATGAAGACAACATGGACATGTGGAACTTAGTGGCCTGCTTCTTCGGCTGCTCGGCTGCCCGCTTCTCCGGCTTCCGAGGCGGCGGCGAGTCCGGCTTTTTCTGAGCCGGCGCGGCCGCAGGAGCTGCTGCCACCGACCTTTCTGCGCAGACAGACCAACGAATGGTAAGTATAGTATAGCAGCATAGCGTCGCATGGTGCGGTGTGGTATAGAATAGTATGACATAGTAGACTTCACAGCAAGCTTCTCCGTAACAGCACAGCAAAAGTCCAACAATATGTCGCAGGTTATGCTTCACCGGCTACTCGGCTGCCCGCTTCTCCGGCTTCC